AGTTCCTTTCTTTTACACATATAAATAGCAATGCCTAGGTATTTTCTTTGTAGCTTTATAAATGTGATATATATATATATGTGTGTGTGTGTGTATATATATATTTTATATATATATATACACACACACACACACACACAGAGAGAGAGAGAGAGAGAGAGATACAGATATCTCCTCTTCAGGGCTCTTCAGATTTGCCTTTTGAAGCTATTTTCTAGATCTTACAAGCCTGCTTAATTTTTTTTTATTTCCTCTCACTGTATTTTCAGTTAGCCTATTTTCAAGCTCACTACTTCTTTCTTCTCCCTTATCAATTCTGTTATTGAAAGACCCTGGTGCATTCTTCAGTATGTCAATTTAGTTGTTCAATTCCAGAATTTCTGCTTGATTTAAAAATAATTATTTCTATGTCTTTGGTAAATTTCTCTGATAGGATTCTGAATTCCTTTTTTGCATTATCTTGAATTTTGTTGAGCTTCCTCAACCTAGATATTTTGAATTCTCTGTCTGGAAAGTCACATATCTCTGTCCCTTTGTGATCGGTCACTGGCACCTTGTATAGTTTGTTTGATGAGGTCCTGTTTTCCTGGATAGTCTTTACATTTGTGGATGTTTGTTGATATCTGGGCACCAAAACGTCAGGTATTTATTGTAGTCTTCACGGTCTAGGCTTGTTTTTACCTTTCCTTCTTGAGATGGCTTTCCAGGTATTTGAAGTTACCTGGGTGTTGTTATCTGTATAAGTCATATCTGCATCTGGGTAAGTCATATCTGCATCAAGGGTATCCCAAGACCAGTAATGCTGTGACACTTGCAGTATTCTGCCTTGGTGGTCTTGGGTATGATCTGAGAGAATTATTTGGATTACCAAGAAGAGACTCTTGTTCTCTTCTCTTAATTTCCCCCAGACAAGTGGAGTGTTTCTCTCCATGCTGAGCTGCCTTGAACTGGAGTAAAGAGTAACACAAGCACTCCTGTGCCACAATCACTGGAACTGTGCTTGGTCAGACATGAAATGAACATGGCACTCAGTCTCACCCAAGCCCTGTGGCAAGCACTGTCTGGCTGCTGTTGATGTTTGTTCAAGACCTAAGGGTTCTTTAATCAGCAAATGATGCATCCTGCCAAAACTGTGTCCTTCCCTTCAAGGAAGTGGGTTCCCTTCTGGCCCGGAGTATGTCTGGAAATGTCATCCATCTGGGAACTAGGGCCTAGAATGGGAGGCCTGTTGTCCTATCCTACTGTGTCTAAGCTGGTCTCAAAGTTGCAAGAGTTTTCTTTACTCTCCCCTCTCCTCTTTTCAAGCCCAAGGAAGAAGTCTCTCTCAGAGCTTTGATCTGCACTACCTGGGGCTGGGGGTTGGGTGACATAAGTGCTCCCTTGGCCACTGTAGCTAGTCACTCTTCTGTATCACTTCTGCTTACTAATATGATGTTTATTTCACATGCAATGCTCCATTTATAAAATAGACATCATATTTATTTTATGCATTAAATAGAATGTTTATGTTTCAGTCAAACTTGGCATTGTGCTAGAAACATAACTGCATTTTATTTTTAAAACTTACAAAGTGGTTTTATTCTTATAGTACCTTATGTGATTCTTTCAACATCTCTATAAGGTAAGTCAAATATTACCCTTCTTTTAGAGATAGAGAAATGAGATTCACAAGAGGTCTTTCCTCATATAACAGAGAAAAATAATGTGAACTCAGTTTTCTCACCCTAATGAGGTGCCATAAATGATATACTATATAACATCATGTGATATAACATATGCCATCTCAAGATATAAATTTCATAGTGTATGATATAATGTCTCAGATTAATAGAGAGGGCATATAGCAAATGTTTTACATAGGATATTAAATCTTTATTAAGAAATATAATGCACTATTTCATAAGAAGGCATACTTATATTTCTATTAATAACTATATCCATTAAAACGAAAATGCCAAAATTATCTGTTAGAAAGTAAAATAAGAAAGGCTTAAAAACTTTCCCATTTCCAACTATTTCCTTTTCCGCATTTTGATCCTGAGGGTGATTACAATGTCCTAATTTCTATTTTGGTAAGTAGGTTTTCAGCAGGGTTCCCCAGAGCCCCAGCAAGCTCAGGCAGATACAAGAGCAGCTGCATTCAGAAAAGTGTTATACACCAAGGAATTGATCTGAATTCCTTTTTTACAGCCATTTCTTCAGTTTATTCAACAACTTTTGGAGACTAAATCCATTAACAAAATGTCATGATATCATTTTATTTATTCTGACTGTTATTTTCAAAATCAGAAAAAAAGTGAGATTAGGTATAATTCTTTAGAGTACATGATGAATATTCAGTTTGATAACTCTTTGTTCATTCCAATCTAAAGATACAGACTCTCACTTTCAGAAGAATATAGCTATTGGTATTACAGGGAAAAGTTACATGGAGATCAGGCAAATAAAGAATTAATTTTAGAAATTGATAACCCTTCGTATATTAAGAGGAAGAACAGCTTTTCTTCATACTGATGTTTTCTACTAAGTCATCTATTAAAAACCCTTGACTTTATTATGAGAGGATTTGTCATGGACAGTGACATTAATTAAAACCCTTCATATCATGTGTCAGGATTAATTTGTCCATATCCATTAAAATCTCACTTTAAAATGATAGAAAATAATTTTAAAAGTATCATCTAGGCTGGGCACAGTGGCTCACACCTGTAATCTCAGCACTTTAGGAGGCCGAGGCAGGCAGATCACAAGGTCAGCAGTTCGAAACCAGCCTGGCCAACAGGGTGAAATCCTGCCTCTATTAAAAATACAAAAATTAGCTGGGCATGGTGGCAGGTGCCTGTAATCCCAGATACTTTGGAGGCTGTGGCAGGAGAATTGTTTGAACCTAGGAGGTGGAGGTTGCAGTGAGCTGAGATCGTGCCATTGCACTCCAGCCTGGGTGACAGGGTGAGACTCCATCATAAGGAAAAAAAAAAAAGTTTCATCTAACATAACTGGAATACCACAGATATTGAACTCCAAAACAGTGTAGTCTGGGGCCCAACAGGGAAGATCATTAAAGACGATTGTTTCTGTATTTTTAGTTACCATATGAGAGGTTGCATCTTCAACCTGTGTAGCAAGATGGCTACAGCCCTTATAGAATTATATTCAGAGAGGTCAACATCCATAGGAAGGGGTAGGGTGGTCTGTTTTCATCTTTCTTGGGAGTGGGGAGACTTTCACCAGACTAATCCCCACCCAAGTGACTTTCCTCCATGATCAGAATTGTGTCACATGAACATTTTTCTGGATAGGTGAATCATTGGCATGGGTGAAATGGGTGCTGGAAAGTAATCTCAATGTCCATCACATGCTATATTTTAGAGTGTTTCTTTGAATCAGAGTAACACAGCTCTATACTCAAAGCAAGATGAGCAGATTAAAGGAGGAGCCGGCCAAGTTGAAGGTAGTGCAGGTTTAATGTAGAGTATCGAAGCATATGGCCATTAAAAGTCATGGTTAGACCCACAATGATGCTACGGTGTTTTCTAAAGATGTGGAAGAAACTTAGAAGTCTAGCTCGTCATGGGCATGGGCTTCCTGAAGCATGCCCCTTTGTTAGCAGCAGCATATAAGGCCATATTCATATTCTAGAGCACGAGAAACTAAAATCCTTTACTTTCCTTTGGATGAAAAATCTACCTCTTTCAAACCACTGGATTTATAGAGGATGAGAAACAGTGTTAAAAGTTTCTTTTCTTTAATTCTTATCAGCTCTATGTTTTTGTGTTAAGTACCACTCACTTAGAGGAAATAAATATCCTTAGTTCACCTGAGAAGAAGAAAACAGGTCTCTAATCAGACCAATACAAACATAAGCTCCTTTTGATGCCAACAGGCAGAGCAGTTTAATAATTAGTCTCCCAACTCAACCCACTTCAAATACACAATGAAGCAAAAAGAGAACTGAAGCTGCTCACATTCTCTACTGAAGCATGGATTGAATTGGGACTGGGAATGAAAGTGAGAAGGTTAGTGGGTACAGAAGTGGGCAAAATATAATCAGGGAAAATATTGCCTGAATTGAGGGAACTGACACTTCAGATAGCAAACTAACTTTCTGCTGAGTAACACTGGTATATAAATAAAGAAACATTTTTATGAGCCATCTGGATGCCCACATCATGTTACCAAATCATGTCAAACTAATTCACCTTATGACGTGTATATTTTAACTCTTTAACAACTTATTTAGACTTAGCCTGGAATTATGATTTTTTAATCTGAATTCAGCTGCCGGTTCTTACAGTTATACTACTTTGGGATAAACATTTCCTTTTTTCTCAGTTTAAGACTAGCAAGTGATAGGCAATATTAATTATTTTAGTGCATTTTAATGGAGAATATAAGATGAGAATATCCAAAAAATTAGACCATTGGTTTTAGAATGATAGAATGTGCTCATTGGTGTGAATATGATAGAAAGACACAAAATAGCACCAGGTGGAATATAATTATTATTGCTATTATTAATATTTGATTAATATTCAAGTCTCTCACCAGGACTGGGCAGCAACAAATTCTTCATTCTCATTGTTTTCTAGAATATTTTTTAATATTTCTTAAGTATTAAGCTCTTTGTTTTTAGCTTGTAAAATATCTAGTACAGTGATATAAAGGGGGTAGAGTAGAACCCTACACTTGAATTACTCAGTTTCTCAAATAAAGTTTTACTTAACTTCAAAGTTATGAAGAAATAAGAGGCAAATAATATGAAGAAAACTGTGAACATGACCCTGAGGGGATACTGCTTATTTCCGTCTTTGTTTCTGGGATTCTAAGTATTTCCATAAAGAAATCAAATTTTCCTTCTTACCGTAAAGCCTCATTTCAGTACTTGGGGTTTTGGTGGAAGTGGTTGTGTAATTTTATTATCTGAAAAATAATGGTGCTGACTATATAATCCCTTAAAATAACTTATTTTTTAAGTAGTTAATATGAGGATTTTTTCTTAGAGGATAAAAGAACTGGAAACTGGAGTATGGTGGAGAATTATAGTGTGCCTTGCATCCGGAGACTAAATCCCAGTGAAAACTTCTGAGGAGACATGGCAAATACTAGAGGGAGGAAGAAGTCATGAACAACTTGCTGGATGAGGTGAGTTTTCACTGCTACAACACAAGATTAATTTGTAGAAGACTAGCCTTTCCAAGTGGCCACTTAAATTTCTACTTCGATGTGTAATTGTAATTTAAAACTGAACATGCCCAAAATTAAACTCTTGCCTTACTTCACTTTCAAAATGACTTCTCTTCTAATCTGCATTTGAACAGATGAAACAGCATAGCATCAGCCCAAAACTCAGGAGTTGCTCAATCTATTTTTCTCATGGTTGACTTCCAATTCATGTAAACTCTTGTGATCTCTATCTTTAAATCACATTGTGAATTTGACCACTACTCACCCTTTCTACTTGTTAACACATTAATCTACCATCTTCCCTCATCTAGATTATTATAATTCCTGAATTAACTTCTCTATTTCTATGATTTCTTCCTAAAGTCAATTTTCCAAATAAAATTTAAGGTCATCTTTTAAAAATGTATATGCAAACAGTTCACTCTCCTGATCAGAACCATAATATGGAATAATAAGAAGAAAAGTACTCTAAGTTCTGAGACAGTTGTCGATCACCTGCCTCCTTCTTAACTCTATGAAAATCTCTCTCGTCATTCTCTCCCCTCATTCACTCTGGTTTGGCCCTCTTCAACATCAGCCCTCTTGCTATTCTTTAAATGTAAAAGTTTATTCTTAGCCCAGGTCTTTGCCTTTTTTACTTCCTCTGTAAGGTTCTCCTCTTCCTTAGATTTATTCACATCTCTACTTCCTCTTAACAAAAGCCTTTATGTTAAGGTGGTCAGTTAAAACAGTAATAATCAATAATGTGAAACTTAAATTTCTGGTCAAGATAGATTATCAGGAACTATTATCCCTACACAAAAACAATTTATAAAATGGACAAAATGTATAAAAAATGGCTTTCAAATTATTGGACATTAGGCAACAAAGGACAGTAATTTATAAGATATAGGAAAAAAATGAGAGAAATCTTATAATTTCCATTGCTTAATTCCTCTAATAGCACATAATTTACATTAAAGGGTGGAGAACTTAGGCAGAGTCCATTACACTCAGTGAGCCAAAAAGATGGAGCCAGCATTCTGTGGAAGCAAGGGTGGTGAGAGTTAATAGGATAAAGTGCCAGAGAGAAGAAAACTACACAGGGATAAGGACAGAGATCTCTACAGGATTCTCTTCAAGTATTTAGTTAAGTACTGATCAGCACCATAAAACTACCGAAGGTCAGAGAAAGAACCATCTGAAAAAATTAGAAAGAACAATGACCAGCTCTCACAAAAGACAGGAATAGAACCTGTTTTCAACAATCAGAGTAGAGAGCTGACAATTCACAATAAATTAGTTGGACTACTAAAAAGGTCTTGCCTTAGTAGTAGAAAAACTTAAACCTGGAATAAAAGCGACTCTGCCCTCTCCTAACAAATCATAAAAGCAAAACCCAGAAGTATCAAACTGTTTCCAAGTAACCATATAGCAGAAAAGAGTTAATATTTTTAGCAATACAAAATATATTCAGCATTCCAAAGAGGCAAAACTCACAAGGACTTGCATCTAATAAAAAATTACTAGAAGTGCAAAGAAGCAGTAAATTATGGCTCACAGTAAGAAGAAATGTTAGTGGAAAGGTAACCGGAAATGACAGAGATGATAGAATTTGTAGACAATTAAATTAAAACAGACAACTGTATTCCAAATGTTCTTAAGCTAGAAAAAAGACTGAACATGATATAAGTAGAGACGTACAAAATAGGCCAGGCGCGGTGGCTCATCCCTGTAATCACAGCACTTTCGGAGGCTGAGGCTGGTAGATCATTTGAGGTCAGAAGTTTGAGACCAGACTGACCCGTATGGTGAAATCCCATCTCTACTGAAAATACAAAGATTAGCCAGACGTGGTGGCGTGCACCTGTAGTCCCATCTACTGGGGAGGCTAAGACAGGAGAATTGCTTGAACCCAGGAGGCAGAGGTTGCAGTGAGCCGAGATCGTGCCACTGCACTCCAGCCTGGGCAACAGAGCGAGACTCTGTCTCCAAAAAAAAAAAAAAAAGAGAGACATAAAAAATACGTTGAAGAAACAAATCAAACTTCCAGGAATAGAAATTACAATGTTGGAGATACAATATACTACATGGAATTAATGGCAGATTAGACATTGCAGAAAAAATACAACCTTTGAATATGAAGGCTTAACAATGGAAACTTCCCAAAATAAAACGTACAGAGAAACAAGAATAAGGAAAAATTACCAGAGAAACAATAAGCAGTTGGACAACTTAAAGCAGTCTAACAATGCCTTTAGTTAGAATCCCTGAAGGAGAATAAAGGGAGGGGAAAACATAAACATAAATTGTGTGTGTGTGTGTGTGTGTGTGTGTATGTGTGTGTGTGTGACACAGTGGCAGAAAATTTTACAAATTTGATAAAAGTTATAAAGTTATAAATCCAAGAAGCTCAGTGAACCCTAAGCGTAAGAAAAATGACGATAACTATAGCAAGGAACATCATAATTATATCATATTTTTTAAAACTAGTGATATAATTTTTAGGTAATCAAATGAAAAAATAAACAGTTTGTATAAAGAAAAAGAGAAAGCTGGCAAATTTTTCATTGAAAACATTGCAAGTAAGGAGACAGTTAATCAACTTGTTTAAGTCAAAAATGAGGGAAAGAAGTCTGCTGTCAATAGCTCTATTTAACATACACTGAAGGTTTTAGTTGGCACAGTCAGTTAAGAAAAAGAAGTAACACATGTCCAGGTAAGACAAGAAGTAAAACTGTCTTTATTTGCAGATAACAAGACCATCCGTAGAAAAAATGTGACTTAATCTACAAAAAGGCTACTAGAACAAATCAGTGAGTTTTAACAATGTTGTAAAACGTAAGACTATTATGTAAAAAATATTTCTACTTCCATAAACTAGTAAAGAACAATTGAAAATTGTAATTATATACTGTTATTTACAATAGCACCACAAATATGAAACACCTAGGATAAATCTAGCAAAAGATGTGGTTGATCTATAAGTGGAAAACTGTAAAAATTTGCTGAGAGAAATTAGATTACTTAAATAAAAGGATAATATACATTGTTCATGGATAGCAAGACTTGATACAATTGCAATGCTAATTTTCTCCTAATTGAACTATAGAGCCAATGTAATCCCAATCAAAATCAGAGTGGATTCTTTTGTAGAAACTGACAAGCTAATTCTAGAATTCATATAGAAATGCAAAGAATATAGAATAGATTGCACAACTTTTAAAAAGAACAAAATTAAAGAACTTACACTACAAGACTTTAAAACTTACCATAAAATTACTGTAATCAAGGTAATATATTAACATTAAGATACTTGGATTAAGGGAAGAGAATGGAGTTGAGAAACAGATTTATACATATATGATTAATTGGGTTTTGGTAAGGTTACAGATAGAGATAATTCTATCGAAAAAAGTAATGTTTTCAACAAATTGTAATGAAAAATGTGAATACCCATATGCATAATTCTATGCTTCATATCATATACAAAAATTAGCAAAAGATATATATATAATAAACCTAAATGTACAACCTAAAACTAGTACTTCTAGAAGAAAACACGGGAGAAATTTTTTTTTTTTTTGAGACGGAGTCTCGCTCTGTCGCCCGGGGGCTGGAGTGCAGCGGCCGGATCTCAGCTCACTGCAAGCTCCGCCTCCCGGGTTCACGCCATTCTCCTGCCTCAGCCTACCGAGTAGCTGGGACTGCAGGCGCCCGCCACCTCACCCGGCTAGTTTTCTGTATTTTTTAATAGAGGCGGGGTTTCACCGGGTTAACCAGGATGGTCTCGATCTCCTGACCTCGTGATCCGCCCATCTCGGCCTCCCAAAGTGCTGGGATTACAGGCTTGAGTCACCGCGCTTGGCCGAAAAATTTTTGTAGTATGAAATTAGGCAAAATTTTCTTAGATATGACCCCAAAAACATTATATATAAAAGGATAAATTGATAAATCGGACTTCAAATAATAACTGCTCTTCAATAAGCATCTTTAAGAAAATGAAAAAGTAAGCCATGTCTTGGAATAAAATATTTTTAACTATATATCTGATAAAAGATTTGAATCCAGAATTTACAAAAATTTTTAAAACTCAAGAATACAAAAATCCATTTAAAAATGGACAAAAGGTGTCAATGGACACTTCATCATAAAAGATGCATGGGTTAAATATTAAAAGATACTAAACTTCATTAGTCATTAGGGAAATACAAGTTTAAACTACAATGAGATAATACTCTACTTTTGATAGAATGGGCAAAATTGAAAACCAGCCACACCAAGCAGAAGTTAGTATGTAGAGTATGTAGGGTTATGTCAAGGTGACCTGTTATAACTTTGATTTCATGTTCTAATATTCCTCACTAGAAGATGGAAATACAATCGATTTTTGTGATGAGATCTAGTATTCTATAACTTTGTTAACTTTTCTTAATATCTCACTTATTTTTGTTGCTGTTGTGGATTCCATAAGGTTATCTACATCTACCTGCTGTTTTGGAAAGTATTTCTAGGCTTTATCTAGGCTTATTTGTAGAGTGGTTTGTGTCATCAATGATATCTGTCAGTGACACATAAGGAAGCAGTGGGAGCGAACACATAGCTCTTTTTATTCCTAATTTATGCTAATCCCCACTTCATATAAATAAGAAAATTAAGTCTCAGAAAGGTGAAGTGATACACCTAAGTATGGTAGAAGTAAACCAACTTGTGTGCATTCTTCTTTAAGTGCAGTTTTTAGTATGTGGCCCACTAACTTCTCCTCAAAGTCTTGCTGAAATCTCATTTTTCTTCAGAAATAATTCAAGCCTAGTCTTCCCAGATAGAATTGTTTTATCCTTTTCTTGTGGATACATTGTCTCCTTAGATCATATCTATATCACGACCCATATCTTAGTATTTATTTCATTTACTACAAGGCAATCCTTTTAGGTGGGAAGTGTGCATACACACTACACAATCTTTAACTCTTAAACAAAGTGTTATTCCTTATAGAGATGTCTATGTGGTTTAAAAAATAAGCAAACCACAACAATAACAAAATCCCAGAGATTAAAGGGTACCGATCACACACTACCTTATAAGGTATCCATTGTAAAGAACAATCTCCCTTCCTTTACACTAATTAAATTGCTTTAATATAATAGAAACTCACTGAATTCAAACGTATTTTTAAATATTTGGAATATAAATTCCTTATGAACCAAAAAATTGAACTTCTAATGTTAGAAAACCTACACTGAAGCAGGCTAGTGAAAGGCATATTTTTAGCAGGTGGCTTCCCAATGACACTAAAAATGAGGTTTTGCAGGCAGCCATCTGTTTCTTCTCCTCATCAATCTTCCTACTTTGTACCCTCATTGCAAATATGTGCTACTATGGGGCTAGACTTCTCATGATTTAATGGATACTACTTACTACTACTAATAATAATAAAATAGCAATAACAATATTTATTTAAAGTTTAAGTAAGGGAATCATATATGCTATACATGACTAGCAAAACTGCTTATGTCATTGGCCTATGTTGTCAATCTATTGATCTGCATGAGAGAATTTTTAAATATAATTGAAATATATAAATTAGGAACCTTTAAGATGCAAAGAAGTACACAAAACAGACACCAGTTTATGTGGTGAATTAAAAAAAAATTCAAAACTAACTAAAGGCCACATTTTGTTCTACAATATTACATATGCATGAGGAAATAGAATACACATTCAGACGAATAAAGAAAGTGTATACCCAGGGTATTGTGAATATCAGCAAGCGGCAAACTAGTCTTTGCTGCAGGATATCTATGCATTTATTTTTACCAAAGCCAGGAGCTGACTTTTGTCATTGCCCTCAGAAAAAAAAAAAAAAAAGAAAATTGAGCTGAAGAGTTCCAGTAAAAAGAATTATAAAGTATATAGATCATCACTTTATCAAGGTTGGTCACCTTCTTCTCTCTCTCCTAAACTCTACTTGTGCTGCTCTTGCACATAAAACAAATGAAAATTAATTTCTCCACAGCTTAGTTTGATAGAAGGAAGAAGAGTTTTATTAATAATAAATCTGGGGTCAGTTCTTGGGGCTCAGTGTCTTAATATCCTTACTTTCAAAATTTGGATGATAATGTCTGTTTTGCATGTGTTATGAGACTTATAAACAATACAGAACAAAATCCTTAAAACTATTAATCAAGGGCCGGGCACGGTGGCTCACGCCTGTAATCCACGCCACTTTAGGAGGCCGAGGTGGGTGATCACGATCAGGAGATTCGAGATCATCCTGGCCAACATGGTGAAACCATCCTACTAAAATACAAAAAAATTAGCTGGGTTGGGGCATGCACCTGTAGTCCCAGCTCACTCAGCGAGGCAGCAGGAGAATTGCTTGAACCTGGGAGGCGGAGGTTGCAGTGACCAAGATCGTGCCATCACACTCCTGCCTGGGTGACAGAGCAAGACTCCATCGAAAAAAAAAAAAAATAAGTAAACAAAGCAATAGCAGTAAATGTTTTTTGTTTCATATGAGAGCTAATGGAAGGTTACAAAATTACTTGGAGAGCAGTATTTCATTTTCATTGTATTTGTTCCTCTTTCCAACCCTCAAATGCAATAGCATTGGCTGTTATTGCCCTTGAATAAATGTGTGGTATAGGGTTGCCCGCCATGGCAATGTTTGTGAGTTTTCAGTTACAGAGTAAATTTACTCCTCATAATGCAGCTGCCAATGTAACAGGTCAATGCACCATTACAACTCCCCATGTAGCCTATTGAACTGTATTATCCTCACTAAGTATGTAGGAAATGATTCGACCTTTCCTTGAATAGTAGTTACTGAACAAATTACTTTCACCTTGAAAATAATTGCAGATCTCAGATGCCCATTTAACCTGCTGTCTCCTAAATTAACCCAACTTTCATCTCCTGTTGCTACTATCGATAATGTACCAAAATAGCAGTGGGTAATGAAATACAGAAGGCTTTGGATTTTAGACACCTAAATTTAAATCTGGCTCTTGGCCAGGCATATATCTCAGCACTTTGGAGGCTGAGATGAGAGGATCACTGAAGCTAGGAGTTTGAGAACAGCCTGGGCAAACAAAGCAAGGCAGCATCTCAACAAAAAATAAAAAATAATTAGCTAGATGGTAGTGTGTGTCTGCATTCCCAGCTACTCAGAGGCTGAGGCAGCAGAATTGCTTAACCTAAGGAAGGTCAAGGCCTGCAGTGAGCTCATAATGGCATCATTGCACTCCAAACCTGATGACAGAGCAAGTCCCTATCTCAAATAAAATAAAGACCAAAATAAAATAATAAAAATTAAACTCTGGTTCCTTTTCTATCTATGAATTGTAGGTTCCTTTGTCAAATTACTTTCCTTATCCTAAACTGATTTTGAAAGTTAAACAAAATATGTTAAAAAATACTGTGGCTCAGCTTCAGCTTCCAGGATGTAAAGAACTTTAATGTCATCACTGAAGGACTTTGCAACAAGAAAAAGTTGAATAAACTTAAAAATAAATGTATTTTGTGGACCCATCAGAAAACTGAGTTTGCTGGACAGACCACCAGTCCCAAATCTGGAAAGGTTGATACATCTAAAGAGACACTGCTGAGATGTGCTTAACCTGGAGCAGAACTTGCTGGGGCCATAACAGGTAGGGACACCGAAATGGTTATTTTGATGAATTGCTGGAGATTGAGTTTGCATTAGCCTCAGAGTGAGAATGTTCCAGTCACTGCAGTTTAGTTGCCTCACACTTTCATAGGCTGTAACACTATGAAATGCATTAGGCTCTCATGAGGGAGATCTAAGAAAGCAAGACAGACCCCCAGGTGGTTTTGTCAGGGAGAAGAGTAATCATTGCACAATATACCCAGAGTCTTTTCTATAGCAAATACTTATTTTCCAGCAGTACAAACTTTGCCAGAACCTTATCCTAGCTAGGGAAAAGAAATTGCTCCCACTCCATTTCCTTCAGGGTTCCTGTTTCAGCTGAGAGGGGAGAAATACATTTTCAACAGTGGTCAGGGATTGATGAAAACAGGTTGGTAATACTGCAGCCAGGGAAGGGAGTAGGGAGCAAGGAGGAAAAAAGCTGTATCGCTGGAGGAACATTTGCAAAGGTCACAGTGCCATGAGACAGACCCATTCAAAGACTGAGATATAATTGGAAGATTATAGAAAGTTCTCTCTCCCCCATACCTTAGCACTATATCAAGAAGTCTCCAATAGAATTACAGTGAGTGACAGCTTAACAAACTGCATGGCAGAGGACGTCTCTGAGGAGGAGTATTTAGGGAAGCACAAAGTCAGGAAGAAAGGGCACTAGAGGACTTGGAAGCTTCTGGCCTGTATAGCTATGGGAAACATTAAACACAGCCGACCACCTAGCAAGATAAACAGAAATCCTGACACAGAAAACCGATTTACCTCAGTTCCTATTACCTAAAAAACATGCCTGGCTTTTTGCAAAAGATTGCAAGGCATGCCAAAGAGCAAACACACAGTCTGAAGAAACAAAGTAATCATTAGATTCAAACTCAGATATACTACAGACGTTGGAATTGTCAGACAGGAAATTTTAAATAACTATGAGTAATATAGTAAAGGCTCAAGTGGGAAAAGTAGGCAACATGTAAGAATATATCAGTAATGTAAGCATTGATAAAATCTCCTTAAGCTGATAAGCAACTTCAGCAAAGTCTCAGGATACAAAATTAATGTGCAAAAATCACAAGCATTCTTATACACCACTACAACTTAAAGTATAATAAATAATAAAGAAATTAAAAAAAAAAAAAGTCTAAGTAAGTATCAGTAGAAAATGTAGAGGTCAGGAGTGGTGGCTGTCATATGTAATCTCAGCACTTTGGGAGGTGTAATAATAAATATATTTAATTATTGTTAATTCTTACTGTACCTAAATATGGGAGGTTTAAGCGGGGGACTGCTCAAGCCTAGGATTAGGGACCATGGGCAACATGGCAATACCCTATCTTTACAAAATATTATAAAAAATAGCCAGGCATGGTGGTGTGCATCTGTGATCCCAGCTACGTGGGAGGCTGAGGCAGGGATGATGGCTTGAGCCTAGGAAGTCAAGGCTCCAGGTGTTTGCACCATCGGCACTTGATCTGGGCAACAGAGTGAGACTCTGTCTCAAAAAGAGGGAGGGGAAGGAGGGGAGGGAACGGAGAAGGGGAGGGGAAAGGGGAGAGGAGGCCTGGAAAGCAAAAACACTGTTACTAAATGAAGGGTCCGCCTTGATGGGCTCATCTGTATCAGGACTCAACCTAGAAAGGATTACTCGGGCTTAAAGATAGGTCAATGGAAATCTTCTAAATTGAAATACAAAGAGAACAAAAATGAAAACCAACAT